CCGTCATTCGTTGAAGGCGCAATCTCAAGTCTCTTGCTGCACCAGCTGCCGCATGGCAACCCTGGTACTTCGATGGAGTGTCCATTTGTTAAGCTCCGTGTTGGGTGGGGACCACGGGGATGAACCTGATATTCTCTCCATGGGTCCCAAACCTCCCCCCGTCTGCCATAAGGAAGAGGAGTTTAGTATGTGAAACTATCGATCTAGAAAGTTTCATTTGAAAAGATTTCGATAGGCCGACAAAACCCTGTTTCCTTATCGTGCCCTATAGTGATGAGGGAAAATCAATGCAGTCAGTGCCAGTAAACTGGCGAGAGAAATTGTTTGGCAAGTTTCAGGCGGTGGTTCGACAGAGAAACGGCACAATCCTTTTCAAATACTATACTGATGAGCAGATCGAGAAAATCTTGGATCTAAAAGAAATGGCCTCTAGGTGCACGTGTCTTCGCACCCGACCTTAAGGTTTGCAAGGGTGTGGTGAACCATGAGGATTTCTCATCAGAAACAAGATCTAAACGCCTTCTTTCTGGCCGAAAGTGGGACCTACATCTACAAGATCTAGCTGAGAATCAATGGGGTACTCACCCATACCTCAACGCTGATACCTTTGATAGTCCATCTCTGCCGGAGGAAATATGTGGCTTTAACAATCTCTGCAGCTGTATGTGCCAAATTCTCTATGCTGTTTTAAATGCCAGAGGTTCGCCCATACGCAGCCACGTTGTATGAATGCTGCAGTCTGCGTACATTGTGAAAAAGAATCATGTCTCGATTCGAAATGCTCCTCAGATCCACGGTGAATTAAGTGTTCCGGGAATCATCCATGGAACTCGAACCAGTATCCCACATTCTTGAAGGAAAGAGAAGACTAGAAAAACCGGGTCTCAAAGGTTTCCTTTCCTGACGCATGACGTCGTTACCAGATGCGCAAACCGGTTAATATGACTCGAAGGTTTGCAAACGCCGTAGGTCACTCGAAGACGACATACAGCTGCGAAACCCACACCGAAAGTTTTTGCCACTCCCATCTCCAGTGTATTGTCAGGTTTCCGCTGATAACTAATAGCGGGGGCGAGGGCGCACTCGGATGCGGCTGCGTGTCTTCGTCCGTTGGCGGTTCCGGCCGCCGCGAGGGTGACGCGTTATGTTCCGCGACGACTTGGGGGACGTCCGAATGCGGCAGGCACTAAATCTCCCTCGACTACATCTAGTTCTTTAGAAAAAAGTCTGCATTGATCTCCACTCACTGTCATCCTCGGATGTCCAAACCACTCCTAAAAGATCTTCACAAGCGTCGCGCGCAGGGTGAAATAAGGACCCGCATCTCTGGGCACTCTCTCCAACAGCAGTCAAGATTATTACTGTAGAGTGGTCGCACAAGAGCGCCTTTAACTTCCATGAAAAAAATGGAAAGAATAAACTTGACGCCTAAATATCATGGTTCTCCTCTTTCGGAATCCCATTGGTACTCCTTTAGACGAATATCTCGTGTGTGTGTGTGTGTGTGTGTGTGTGTATATATATCCGTTATGTTTGCAGGAAATACATCTTCTTGAACATTCCATCTCTCTTCGCGGCTTTTATTCTTTCAGGCATGATTATGGGCTCCGTGTTAATGGCGGAGATGCACCATTTGTCGCAAATAGAAATGGTTTACAAAGAAATAGCAAACCAGCCTTAAGACATCTTGCGTTCGTTTGGATTTCTGTGCAATCTCGATAACTTTTTGCAACGTCTATATCCTGCCTGGACAAGTCGTGTCGCCAGAAGAGCGTGTCACTCATCTGCCCCACGTTTTCTCATTCTTGAGGACTTTAATGCTCATAGTCCCATCTGGGTTGCAGCAAGATCCTGCCAGAAAGGACTCCTTCTCGAAAACATTATAAACAGATTCAACTTGAATACAGGCCAGGGCGCCCATTTCTCCCTAGTGACGAACACCTTTCCCTATATCGATCTAGCCTTCTGCAGTCCATTATTACGTACGATGACAGTCGATGTACGAGTACGATGATGAATCGAACCTTTTAATCGAATACAAGATGTGCAGAGCCAAGGTTAGAAAGGGTATACGCGAAAGCTAAAAGAGGTCTTGGGGAGCTATCTTTCTTCTCTTTCTTGCCGTTCTCCTTAAGTGGCGTGGCGAAAGGTCCGTCAAATGATGTAAGACCTCCGAACGTCCCATGGTCTGGAGAAAATCTGTTCTCCTCCCCAGATGACATAGCAGATCAACTGGCTGCTCACAACCTCCAGTTCCTCGCAACATTCGATTATAGGAAATGGGAAAATAAAACATTTTGGTTTTTTCAAGTGGCATAGAAGAGGATTATAACTCTCCCTTTTCTATCGAGAAACTATTGTCTGCTCTTGCCCTTTTAAGTCTGCTGTAGGACCTCACCAAATCCACAACCAGATGTTGAAACACCTCGAGAAGGCGCGATCCTTCCGTCTTAGCATCTTCGTCAATCGCATTTGGAACGAACCTGAAACCTGGTGCGGTGCTATAGTCATTTATATTCTAAAAGAAAAAAAAAGGAAAGGACCGAATGATTCCCCGATTTCGCTTACTATTTGCTCTTGAAACGAATGCTTAACCGTCATCTGGTCTGGCTCCTGGAGCTAGGAAACCTTTTAAGACCAATTCAGTGTGGCTTCAGAAAACATCGGTCTACTTTGGATCAGTTGGTCACTCTTACTTCGTCGTAGACGCAGATATCCACTTAGTATTACATCTCGCAGCCGTATTTTTTTGACATTGAGAAGACCTATGGCATGACCTGGAAGTATGACATACTTCGCACTTTGCACTCTTGGGGGAGTTAGGGGACGGCTCTCGTTGTTCCTTGTAAACTTCCTCTCTTCACGATCCTTTCGAGATCGCGTTGGCGGGAAATTACCTTCTAGTCACCCTTTGGAAAATGGAGTTCCCCAAGGGTTAATTTTGAGCGCCATTACAATCAACGAAAGCGTCAGTCGCATGAGAGCTTGTTAAGGCGTCGCTTTTTGTTGATTTTGCCGTTTTCTGTTCATCCAAGACTATGAACGTCATTCAAAGGCAACTACAACTCGTCCTGAATGGACTGAATGAATGGAGCAAAAAACTGGATTCTCCACCTCCAAATCCAAGCGCCCCACTCACTTCTGCAGGAGATATCACCTATACAATCACCCAGATCTATTCCTTGGAGACCAAGTCCCATTTGTTGATGCAACTTCCTTTCTCGGTCTGACGTTCGACAGAAGCGTGACATAGCGAAAACATGTCCGCAACCTACAGAGTCGATGGGTATCGCCACTTCTTCGAAATCTACTTTGAGCCCATAGTGGTACCTCATACGGGGCCCAACAAATCTTCCTTGCAATTGTACAGGACACTTTATTTGATCTGTTTTGGCCTATGACAGCATTGTACATGGCTCTGCGTTATCTTCAACGTTAGGACCTCTAAATACCATTTATCGTGCAGGATCATCTATTCATCAGAACAGGTGCCTATTGCACATCTTCCACATCTGCTGAAGAGTGTCTCTTGGTTTAAGCTGAAGAGATGTCTCTTATCTGAAGATGGGAGAGTTTGATCATTTTGTAAGGTGCAAAAGTGCCAGAGCTAGATGTTCCATTTCGATGAACATTCTTGTACCCAAACCATCAAACACCTTACATACTGAGACCGTCTTTACTTAAACCATTTGGTATCTGTTTTCAGACTGTCACAGGAGCTTAACCTGAAACTTCCTGCCCCCTGTGAAACCTCCCAAAAATTTGGTCTCTCTGTAACTTCTCTGACCTCTAATAGACCTCAGCCTGTCCAACCTCCCTAAATCATCAACTGCCCGACCACAAAAACTGAAACACTTCAATTAGTTGAAAGCAACTTATTCTGACCATACTTTTGTGTACACTGACTACTCTGTTTTCAGTGACTGTGGCATGTGCATTCTTCTGTAGAATGGCCACACATTCATTTAAAATTTACCCGTACTGTAGCATATTCTCTGTTGATAGTTTGCTGTACTGCAAGCCCTGAAATATAAAGAATCAGGTGCATCACAGCAAGTAGTTATATGCAGTGATTCATGACGTGCACTCCAGTTGCATTTAACTCTATCTTTCTCGGATCACTGGACTGCCACTATACATCTGTTGCACCATCTATTGTCTCGCCATTATAACCTAGTAGTATGTTGGGTACTGGGTCATGTGGGAATTGCTGCCAATGCGGTTCAAGCCACAAAAACAGTGACTTGCAAGTCATCTTTTGACATTCCTTATGTACCCTAAGCAGATTTAAAATCGTATCTGAAATGCTCTATATTAAGTGCATGGCAAATAGAATGCCACAAAACCACCATTAAATTACGAGCGTATAAAGATTCTGTAAATCGCTCTCTAAATCGTTTCTCACGCTGTTCTGCAACGTGGAGGAAGAAACCATAATTCATCATGGTATCGGTCATTGTCACTTCTAACACAGTTTCCTATTTCAAAATGAACCTCCCCATGTGTGACACGTGTGAAACGGACCTCTCTGTGGAACACCCACTCTGTAGAAAGTTTGATAGCAGCCGGCATAGACATTGTCTGGATAACTGTCTTCTAGAGGTGCTCAGCAAATGACGAGTCAATGCTCTCTTTTTTCTTTTCTGTGGGAAAGTGGAATATATAACATTGTCGGAGATGCAAGGACAATATAGTTTCACTAAATTTAGCATCCTTATATTTGTTACTTAGCTGCTAAAAAGCCAGTTTTAAGTTTTTAAATTTATTTTATTTATCTATTACCCATTTATTAACTAATTTTGTTCTTCTTTCTTCATTACTGTTTTTTTTATTATATGGACATGGGAGCCAGGGACCATGGCAGTTGACATGCTCCTGTAAACCAAATCAATCAATCACACCTACTTTACAATAATTAATAATATTTTATTATACATGAACATAAAACATCATATTGATTTGTAAATGAAAAGTAGGTCATCTTTATACCTGTATTTCAGATATTGGAGTGCTTACAACAACAAAACAAGAATTTGCTGAGTAGTAGTTGCCATCGAATGGTCTTCAATGTAGAGAGGCAAGAATTGCAGGACAGTTCAGTTGATTATGTGCTTCTAACTACATGCCAACAAATGATTCGCCAGTTTTGCCACCAGGAGGACCACCTGATTTGTTTGAAGGTATTTTCACATTTATTGTTCTGAAAAAAAATAAGAATTTTTTAAAATTAAAATAGTCCCTGATATTCCAGTACTTACTTTAAGATTGAATGTTTTTTTTCTTTTTTGTAATTATTTTAGAGGTACAAAGATGAAACTACATTTGATCCAAAATGCAGAACCATTGTGGTGCGTCGAATGATTGAACAAAGTACAGACTATCGTTTTAATCCACTCCTGCAAAAAGGCTGCAAACGTGATATTTCAAAGTTCTGTACAGAAATTGTGGCCTCTGAACCTACCGATTCTGAGCTTAATGGAAAAGTAATAAAGTGTCTAAAGGTGATTGTTTTATTAAACTTCCTCTTTTAGCAAATTTTTAAATTGTAAGCTTATTAAATGTTTTTCTGTTAAATGTGTATTTTTTTTTTTTTTATTTCAGAAAAAATTCAGAGATAGAAAATTAAGCTTGGATTGTGAACGACAGATGACAATAATACTTAGAGAAGCTGCACTGAATTACAAACTCAACCCTCTTCTAGAGTCAATGTGCAAAAAAGATGTAAATTATAGTATTTTAAATATTTAAATGTGTTAGCTTTCATTTTGCATTTCAGTGAAAATGAACTGAAAATATGTACAACCTCTAATTTGAAGGTAGTCTGTTTTCTAAAAAACAAATTCTTTTGTTTTCTAGATTGATAATTTATGTGCTAATTACGTGGAGTCGGATGGAGCAGGTGCTGTGGAGGAGTGCTTGAAAAATGCATTTTATGAGCGCCGCATTGAACAGAAAGAATGTCAAGTAGAGGTAGCCAGTCTCATTGAAGAAGCAAAAGCTGATATTCATGTAGATCCATTGCTTCATGAAGCATGCAGTATTGACCTTTCCAAATATTGTTACAATATTCCACAAGGCTCTGGACGTCGTAAGTTCTGGATGTATTCATAATCGTTAACTACAAATGAATACGTTTTCCTTGCTATTAGTTTCTCGTAAACATGGTTTGTAGAAAGTTATGTAACACTGCAAAATATTAATGTCTAGATTTTGACAGAAATGTCAATTTTGTGGCTTCCTGGTACCACATCAGTCTGTCTGT